AACACAAAAATTCTGTTTGAGAAATATACGGATTTTAAGTATCTAGCGAAAAAATTGTGTTAACCTATTTAGCCATTTTTTTTATATCACATTTTTGACATAAAACTTATGAATTCATAATATTTGGTAAAAAATCACGAAATCAAATTTAAATACTCTAAAATCAATATTTTGGTAGAAAGTTTACAAATTCATGTTTTTGGCGGAAATTTTTGAAATTGGGTTTTCACAAAAAAAAATTGAAATTATATTTTTAAGTAAGTTTTTTGGCGGAAGATTTACGGTTTCACTTATTTGGCGATAAATTCATGAAATCAAGTTTGACTCGTAGTTTATGGAATCACATTTTAATGTAATTTTTTGGCAAATTTTTTATATGGATTTACTTTTTGGCGGGAAATTCACAAAAACGAAATTTCGATAAAATATTTTTGAATCATATTTTTGATGTAATGTTTTTGGAAAGAAAGTTACTTATTCATGTTTTTGGCAGAAAATTTACGAAATAGGTTTTGTTATGGAAATTTTTGGAATCTTATTTTAAGTATTTTTTTAGCAAAATATTTACAAGTTCAAATATTTGTGTGAAACTTGCGGAATCAGATTTTTAAAAAGAGAATTTCTCCACTTTTCTTATCATCTTATTTGGTCTCACTATAAATAAACAACAAAAGTGTATATTATGTGTGAATATATTCCACTTATATATCGAGAATTTCGAACTAGAAATGAGACGAAAGGTGATGGAGTGAGATAAAAACAATAAAGATAAAAAATATGAATAAAAAATAAAAAAATAAAGAATAACGAAGATTTATTTTATTTTATATATTTTTAAAATATTTTAAGTTTTGTATATATATATATATATTGCTATATACAATTTCTCAAATTTATTAAAACATTTTTTCACAAACTAAATTTTTTTACAAATATATTACTGAACTGACAAATCAACTTTAGAAATTAGAAATAATATATATTATTATTAATTATTTTTTAGTAAAATTCTCATATCTGCACATATGTGCGAGCCAACCACCTAGTATTTTTGTATATCTCAATAGCATCCAATGCCTTGAATTTCTGCAAGAAAAAAAGAGTATGGTGATGACACTCCCTTGAACAATTCATATAATAGCTTGAAATAAAAACTATATATTCAGTAGATACAAAACCTTAGCAAGGATGTTAAACTAAGAACTCTATCTACAACATGTTTGAGCGACTCTTTGCCGCTAGCTGAATCTAAAGGCAAAAAAATGAGCAGATTATGCCTCAACAGAAAGTGGAAGCTCACAATTCAAAATTAAATTGGAGTCCTTTCCTTGATTCATTGTTACAGGAATTACCTTTGAGCTTACTCTTAATCTGAACCAGTTCAGCTTCATTCCTCGTAGAGAGAGTAATCTTGACACCTAAACTTGCAAACTGTTTAGCAAGAACATCCCCTAAAGCCAATCATAGACAAAGAATTAGACAATAATTATAGCAAAAGTAAATATTTTTTTTAGAAAGCTCTTCAAAGATTAAACAGAAAACCATTACTTATCAATTTCTTAGCTAACCCATGTGATCCAGACTACCTGAGCCAAAACAAATCAACAAAAAATCTGAAACTTCTTGCCCAAAAAAGCTCAGTAATTAAAATAATTGAAAACATTTCTCACTAAGATTGGGCTGATAAAAAGTTTGTTGGCTTCACTTAAACCTACTACAAAAATCCTTCTTTCTGGTATTTTAGTAGTCGATATCCTTTATAACCTCTTAAAAATTATAAAATATACAATGAAATAAATCTAGTCTATAGACTATCACAACACACAGTGATTTAGAACTTGACATTATGACTATCAAATCTTTCGGACTGATTGCTAGTAATGCCCAATGAATATACAGAAGTCATAAGACTTACTTCCGTATTTGGAAAGGATGCTAACGTTATTTTGGATAAAAGGTAACATATCTCGGTTCCAACTTCAGAAATTTTGGTTTCGGCTAACCGCAACAATGAATACAAGATTCACTACAATAACAACACATAAACAACAATCAAACCATAATCAGATTTGGTTCACAGAAAATAAAAGCCACAATGGCTAATACCGATTATACTAATATCTTAATACATATATAGCAGATTATAAACATTCGTAAAACATCAAACACTGAACGACAAAAGATCTCAGAAATTGAACTTTTAATGGAAAATAGAAACATGATAAAAAATAGTTGACTAAAAAAATTATCTTTTAGAAAGTGGTTATAGTTCCGGCCATGGATAAGAAAAAGTTCTTCTTCTGTAGATCACCTTCCCACATATCTTCTCATGCCATTCACTAACATTATGAAGATTAATAAAACAGATTAAAAAGCATGGTAGAATAAATGGTTCCAAGAGAAAGCCTCTAACTGCTCACAAAAATCATGCATGTAAAAAAGTAAGCATGGGCGAATTTTAAAAATAATTGTTTTTGCATATTTTCCTAACAAATTTAATTAAAATGAGATAAAATATTGAAAACAAAATAAAAATAGTTAAAAATATATTATAAAACATTATAAAAAGGTCTATTATAAATTGGTTTTTTTGTTTCTATAAACTGCTTCACTAAATTATTATAATTTATAAATAACGAGATTGACAAAAGAAATATTAAATTTATGATCATAAAAAAATGAATGTTAGAATCGTTTGTTAGGATGTTGGCGGCTTTACAAAAATAGTAATTAGAATCTTTAGTGTTGATAAAATATAACAAAGGTGATTAAAATTTAGAACAAAAACACTTCTTTTAAACAATAATTATGTTCAAAATCAGGTGGATCCAATTTAAAGTATACTTTAAAGACTATACTAAGAATCACAACTTGGAATCGATGGTTCATGAAAGTGCTGTGAAAAAATCAATGAACTTTAAAGGGTTGCAGGTCATAGCTCCCCTTAAGATGGTTCAGTTGATGGATTTCAAGCCACTGCAATTGTTGTTGGGGTGTCAACTTCTTAGCCTTCTAGAAGCTTGTTGCTTTGAGGCATTGTTGATCCTTTTCATTGAGAGACTACTTTAGTTTCACTCTTGTGCTGAAGCACATATGAGGCGAATGGAACCAAGAAGATTACTGATTCTGGTTTACTTTGGTTATTGTATATGGTTTAGTACCACTTGTAATGGCGCTTGTATATAAGCTTCATCTTCTAAACATTGTACGATTGAAAGAATTATAACAAACATATCCAATTCTAGATCTTCTTCTTCATGAAGCTTTCTCTCCACTATCATCTTCCCATCATAGTTGGCCCGAAATGGCTCATGCTGCTTGAATGGTTTAACTTTTCTAACATGTATCAAGACCATGAACAAACAGTATAAATATTATTGGAACCCCTTAATCATCTTATCATCATCAAGTGGTTTCTTTAATTCCTCAATGAAGCTTCTCCTGCTGCTGCTGCTTGCCTTCTGCAACCTTTCGCTATCAAGTTGTTCTCCCATCTTGTCTTCTCGTTTTACTATATTCTTGCTATTATGTTTAAATCTCTTATAAGGTTTCGAGCTTTTTTTTTCCCCACGCAGTGTATAGTTTTACTGAAGAGTCATTGAGAAAGGGGGCGTATAAATTTTAAAAGTCTTTGTTGAAATATTTTAGATTTTCTGTTGTTCTATAAAAACTTAAGTACACGAGTCATCATGACTTGTACTAAAAAATATGGGACCACTCACTAATCAATTGGGCTCTTAATGGGTTTTGAAAAAAATAAAAAAATAAAAAGCTAAGAAAATAAAAAATTTGGATATTTTTTTTATTTATTTGTGGGAAACCTCAAATTTAATTAAAAAAATATATAATAGGCTTAAGTTTAAAAGTTAAAATAAATAGATGAGGTGTATTAATAAAATGTTGTGATTGTTGTTTTTTTGCTGAAGTGTCATGTTTGTAAAGCTTGAAAAATCTGATGTGTCATCTTCTGGAGAGACACAAAGGTTATTAATGTGTTAAATTTTTAAAAAGTTGGACAATTTTCTTTTTGTTTTAAATAATAATTATTTTTTGAAAAAAATAAATATATATGTGGAAGATGACTCACACATAAGAAGTGATATATTATCATCACGGTCAATGGTTAATGTATGATTTAATTAATATTGATTAATTGATGTATAAATTAACAAAATATTATAGTTTATGTATGTATTAGCACTGACGTATAAATTCTAATAAACCGAAAGTCCCCAAGAAGAAGAATAGTACGAACGTCCTTACCATAGCCAAAGCTAAATTCTCCACAGCTCAATCACAAATGCACGGAAGAACCTTTTAATGAAAAAGTAAAATAGAGATACGACAGAAGTAGTGGAAACTGATTCTGTGTTTGTATGAAATGGAACTATGTAAACGTCTCTGACAAGGTAACAATGCCTTAAAATAATTGACGTTTAGGTAATTAAGTTTCAAATTCAAATAAGAAAATTAAAGTGTCAATAACAAAAAAAAAGGAGTAAATGTTATCGCTTTGTGCTCTTGTGAAATTTTCTATTTCTCTGCTTAAGGAAAAAGTGAATTAAAATCTCGTCGACTAACAAAAAAGCAACCTAATTTTTTTTTTCTTGTACTTTCAAATTATTAAAGAAACCTGAACGTTGTAAAAATGTTCAACTATGAAAAAAAACAAATCGTCAAAATGATGAGAAGCAAACCGACAGTTGTAATAATAAAACACTCCCCATTTCCTTCTCTTCCCTCTCTAATTTATATATAAAAGAAGCATGGCGAAATATATAAAAATAAAATACCTTATGCCAAAACAAACCTGAACGTTGTGCCATTTGTTTCAAATATTGACCAAAATAATACGTTTTTGAGTACGCAATATTAAAACAGAAGACAGAGTTAAGAAGAAGTCCAAAACTTGTCACTACTGATAGGCAAAAGATACCAAGTTACACCAGCTTGATCTTCTTCATTGGTCGTCCATCTTCAGCCACAATCTGAGGTTCTTCCTACTCTTTTTTTCCTTCTTCCTCCCTCTCTCCCACTCCCTCTCCTTCTTCATCTACATCTTCATCTTCTTCTTCTGTGTTTCCTCCTCCAGAGGAGTTTTCTTCAGAATCCTCCTCTTTCTTCTCCAGGTTCTCTATCAGACTCTTCAACTCTCTGTTCACCTATTTATCACAAACATTTTATGTTAATGTTTTACAACAAATAGGTATTAACTAGAATGTGGTCAGATATGGCTACACTTTCTACACATTGGAAAGTTTAATTAAATCAGCTCAAATTTTTTACTTAATACAAACTGGTGTGTACAAACTCTTCTTACACAACCAAATACGTTCTAATATGATGAGTAAAAACAGTAACAAGTTATATGTTGATTGAATATCTGATGTTACTGATAATCATAATTCCAATGAATCAAATGCAAACAGCTTTTAAGTTCACCAATTCCAATACTTCATCTAGTTATAGCTGCCATTTCAAATTTAATGCACATAAACGATGGAAGAAGAAGAAGAAACTTGTGTTACTGACCTGTGGATCCTGGAGAAAGTCGGCAATGTCGTTAGTGCAGCAAGAGCATTTCATAACGTTCTTTTTAGCACGTAGCGTGCGCCCACCTCTGCTCCTCACATTCACTTGAGAGATCCCAGCAAATTTTGCGGTTAAACAATCCTTGCGGAAGTTATGTGCGCAAGGCCTTGTCACAGGAGATTTCATCATGTCCCGACAGATTTGGCAACTCAGCTCTGTCTCAACACACACATAAAAAAAACAAATCATGGTTTAGATCTGTCATAACAGATAAAGCTATACATAAGCTCTTTTCCAGAAACCCAACTAAAGATATACTTAGCAGACCTTTCAAAAGTTTGTCTCTGCTACTCTTTATTCTCCTCTTTTGACCTTTATTCATGTTGGCGAACTGTCTGCTGGCAGGTGGCGGCTTCACCCATTTCCACGTCCCATCCGCTACCTGTTCAAGTACATGTATATATAAGTACAGGGGAAAGTGTTATATCAAAAATAGAAAGAAGCAGCGGTTTACATCAAAATCCCAACATGGGCTTTCCTCTCTCTCAATCAGCTCAATGGCATTGCTAAGCTCAGAAATGTTGGGCAAAGGTCTTGGACGATCACCATGCTCATCGCTGCAGTATATTTTAAAGGTGAGCATAACTAGCAAATTCTGAGAAGAGAGAGAAGAGAAAAGTAGATAAAAAAACCTTGAGCCTCATTGTCGTATCTTACAAAAAGATAACGACACACCTTAAAGCCCTATTGACACTCTTCCGTCGGAATCGTCACCTTACATCGCATGCATGCACCGTCGGAATCGCACGGAACTTGGATTTCAAGGGCCATTTTCGGAGATCTGTGGACGGAAAAAAGGAGCGAGAGAGCGAGATTTAGAGTGAGTGGTGCTGCTTGCGAGATTGAAGTTGTGAGGGAAAGAGATAGAGATTCAGGGGATTTTAAAGAGAGACAAAATGTGGAGAGGCGCCTTTTGAAAATTATGGGGATTTTCAAACAAATTTAGAAGAAGGAAACATAAAAGGGAAAATAAACAATAAATCTCTCATTTTTTAATTGTTATTGTATATATTTTTTTCTGTCTAAAACTGGCTTTGAATATGTATGTACACCCAAATTTTAGGCCAGAGAGTTAATACAAATCTATCTAATATCTTATTTTTCTATTATTATTTTTGATAAATATACATTTTTAAAATTAACTGTTTCCATATTTGATAAGACTAGGTATTTATCCGCGCTATGCTGCGGGATATTTTTTCTAGATTTGTATATATTTTTAATATAATAAAATTATTTCTATAATGTAAATGAGTATTATATTTATTTTTATTAGCTTAAGTTATATATTTATATGTTTTAAATCTGAATAAACATTATATATCATTAATTTTTTAATTTTTAAAATTATAATCTACTATCAAATTTGTTTAGTTAACTATCTATAAATGTATATGTAAAAATAAAACAATACATTTTTAAGTACCTTCATGCTAATGGTAAATGTAATTTATTTTCTTTACTAAATTGCTACTTGATCCTCTTTTGAAATTAAATAAAGCAAACTAGGTGATCGGCCTGCACAGTGTGCAGGGCTATAAAATATTTAATATATTTAATTATTATTAGTATAATATTAAAAATGTTTCATTTACATATAATTAATTATGTATTAATAATAAAAAAATATAAATATAAAATATTAAAGATTTCAAAATAAAATGAAGAAAAAATATTAACTAAGACTTTAACATATTTTCTTAGATCAAAAAATGTAAATATGATAACTAAATAAATAGGCAAACTTGAAAATCTATAATTATTTATTTAATTTTTATTTTTGACTCGCACGCATGTGCATGTATAACTTTTTAGACATAATTAGTTGTAATATTTAAGTATTGATTAATTTTATTATACTTTATGTAAACTTTATGTTTATATACATATACATTTTTAGTGTTCAACAACAATCACACAAACGTTTTCTATCTTTTTGTGTCTTTTGAAATTTTTATTTTTTCTAGCTTTTACATTAACAAATAATTGCAAATATAAAAGTTATATTAAATAATAATTAAATTTTTATAATATGCTTTGAATATTATCTATAATATACTTTTGTAACTATTTTTTTCCTTGACCTATTGTTAATTAAACCAAAATAAATTTTACCATATTTATTTATCCTAAGAGCGGGTAGAAATGTGCGGACCAACCACCTCACCGCTCTTAGGACATATAAATATTTTTTTTAAATATAAATTGTCTAACAACTAAAATTAAAATTAGAGTGTAATCGAGGTTAACAAAATGTATGCACGACAAATTTGCATGCAAGTTTGACTTTTACACAATTAATATTTATATCTACACGTACATTTGTAAAAAATATAATTATGGCTTTCATGTATTAAAAAAATAATAAAGTATATGTTTGTAATCCATATTTTTATATCGTATGGTTGATTTTTTTTTTTGAAAAAAATAAGTATATTTATGCATTTAGGTATGAGTTAGAAATAAGTGAATTATAATATTTAGGTATTGGTAAGTTTTTTTTTATATTTTCCATAAATGTTATTTTTTTTATACGATGTAGTTATTGGTATTTAACAACAATCACGAAAACCGTTTCTATCGTTTTGTATTTATTCAAAAAAATTTATTTTTCAGCGTTTTACGATATATGGTTTCTCAATAGAACTATAATAAATATTTTTATTAAATTTGTGAAATCATATTTTATAAAATTCTCCGGTAGCTCTCTGCTCATCTCTTCGTCAAAATTTTTAATAATCCGCAATCCCTCACTTCCACAAACTCTGTGTAACATAATCGTTTAAGCCAATCAGATCCAAACTTATTTGTGTATTATTTAAAGTGTAAAATAATATATTTAATATTTGATTGTTATATTAAATTAAGAGTTGATATGTTCTTAACTTTAATATATTTGTTAATACAAAATATAATGGATCACAACGTATACAAATGATTCATGAAATAATGTTTTAATATGCTGGAAAAATATATGCATGAAAAAAAATAATATGTATAAGATAATATTTTTAAATATTTGAAATAAAAACATAAAATTGATTCTTATTTTTTTTCTCTTCTTTGACTTATATTTTTTTAACCTTTAATAATATATTTAACATTAAGATCATCTCAAATATTTTTTTGTTTTATTTTTTTTCTAAAATATAAGTGGGCTTCTCTCCAACCTATTTCTATTTTACAAAAAAAAAAGATTATTATTTTTTCATCTATAATTGAAAAAAAAAGTAACAACCTTTCTTTTTCCTCTAAATTAGAACATTTAAAATAAATGTGAGTTGGAGATGCTTTAAATCAAAAATATAACCTGAGATTTGTATATAAAACCAAAGTTGTAAAGATTCATTTTGTACTTTTCCTTCTACTTTTTATTCATATATACAATAGTATAATAAAAAAAGTTGGCTAAGAGGATATTTACAATTTATTTTTCTCTCTGTTTATTTTTTATTTTATTTATAATTTTGAATTCTTGCTATATAATGAAAATTTATTCACATATGATATAAACTTTTTTCTTATTTAAAAACGAGATTTATTTAGTTTTAATTTAACCAATCAAAATATTTCATTTATTTTAGGAAATTAGCCATGTCACATTTATGACATGGCATTGTTTTACACTAACTTTTCTTTAGGTGTTAACATATAGGATTTTTTAGTAAACATGCTTCTCAAATAATAGTTAGGATTACAATTTAAAAAAATATTAATTAATATGATTATTTTAAACTATTAAATTTATTTTTTTATCAAATATTTATTATAGACATATATTTCTAAAACTATCAAACTATAATCAATAACATTCATATCAAAATCATTACTATTACTTTAGAACTAAATAAAAATTTCTATTTGAACTGTTGAAATATCAATTTAGTTGAAGTTAAATAATTCAATTTTTGTTACTATAAACATATTGTAACTTTGAAAATTAGAACAGAGAAATTTTATCATTTTACAAAAACCAAAAAATTGCATTTTCTGACAAAACAAAAAGAAAAATATTTTCCCACAAAACTGAGAAATCGCCTATTCCCGCCAAAACAAAAAAAATCATTTTCTCATCAAACCTGAAATTTCATTTTTCTACCAAAACAAAGAAATTACATTTTTCCTCAAAAACTAAAAAATCACATTTTCTCACGAGAACCTGTGTTTTCCCGTCAAAGCAGAGAAATCAAGTTTTTTCACCAAAACCAAAAAATTTCATCTTCCTGCAAAAACAAAAAAATAGTATTTTCCCATCAAAACCAAAAATATATTTTTCCACAAAAATCGTCTATTCCCACCAAAACAAGAAAAAATTATTTTTCTTGTCAAATCAAGAATCATGTATTTCTATCAAAACCTATAAATACAATTTTCCGCGAAAACCAAAAGTTGCATTATCGCATGAGAAATTGCATTTTCTGCAAAAAATAAGAAATCATATTTTCCCTCGAAAACCAAAAAAATCAAATTATATGTCAAAAACTGAATATTTGTATTTTCCATCAAAACCAAAAAATTGTTTATTCCTGCCAAAATCGAGAAATTTTGCTTTTCTATCAACCTGAAAAATTGCATTTTCTGCCAAAATTGTCAAATTATAATTTTTCCGCAAAAATCAAAAAATTATATTATCCATCAAAAGCCGAAAAATTGTATTTTCTATCAAAACCGAGAAATCGTATTTTTGTCAAAATTGAAAAGTTGCATTTCCCTCATATTTTCTCGTCAAAATCAAATTTTTTATTTCTCACAAAAACCAAAAATTCATATTGTTCCTTCAAACCCGAGAATTTTCTTTTTTCCACCATAACTGAGAAACTATGTTTTTCTACCAAAACTGAAAATAATATTTTTCTACCAAAACCAAGAAATTCTCTATTTCCGCCAAATCCAAGAAAATTTGTTCTCGGTAAACAATGTTAATAATATGTATTATTGTTATGTTTTTATTGGTTCAAATTTTTGCTGATGTGTGAGCTTCTTATAACATAACGCTTTTTGCATTGTTGTTATGAAAACATAGTTGATAATGAGTCTACAGTTTCTTCAATCATATATGTATCTATCAAGCAAACACATAGGTAGAAATTTTAAATTTTTTTGCTGTTATTTATTATTTGAGTTTCGGTTTGGCAAAAATATATAAAAAATATTTAATTTTATTATTTGTTGCTATTTATTATTTGGGTTTGGCAAAAAAAAACATTTTTTTTATTTGCTGTTATTTATTATTTGGGCTTAGGCTTGACCAAAAAATAAAACTAAAATTAACAATAAAAAATATTTGGGTTTTCAATGGGTTTAAAATATATTGATGACTTGTATTAATGAAATATTTTTATTGGTGTTTTTTTTTGCTGAAATGTCATCTTTTAAAAGCTTGAAAATGCTGATGTGTCAAGCCATGGAGAGACTTATGGATTATTGTTGTGTTGATTTATTTGTTTTTGTATATATTTTTTTCTGTCTAAAACTGGCTTTGAATATGTATGTACACCCAAATTTTAGGGCAGAGAGTTAATACAAATCTATCTAATATCTTATTTTTATATTATTATTTTTGATAAATATACACTTTTAAAATTAACTGTTTCCATATTTGATAAGATTTATAATTTTTTGTGAAAATTGTGAAATATTTTTCATTCTTTACAGTCAACATTAAATTTTAAAATTTCTATTTATTTAAACTTATTTTAGGCATATATTTCTATATTATTATATACTGTATGTAATTAAATAGTAAACTAAATTCTCTTTTTTTTAGAAAAAGTAAGATTTTGGAGATTGTGTATTGCATACTCTCAAACTTTTTGTATACACTGTATAGGTGGCAGTTTAGTGATACTAACTATTAAAAAAATATTTGTATATTATGTAATTAAATTTTAAAAGTTTATAAATAATTTTGCAAAGTTATAAATATATAAAATATACTAAAATCAATTTATATATGTATCCCTTTAATCAATCATATATGTAATAGTCTCTTGTGTGGCATCAAATCATATTATCATAATTAAATCATATGTGCTAGTCATCTATTTTGATATAGTTTAATAAATAGATAGAAATGGCACAATCCAATTGTTGATAAATAATTGAAGAAAAAAATATGAAATGGTTTACAAATTGTTTTAAGTACAAATTTGTAAATATCTTTAGTAAAATATATTTTGTGATTTAAAAAAAAGCTAAATAATTTGTTTCGACAGTATGAAAAATATATTTAAAAACAAAAAAAATATGATATAATTTTTTTTGTTAATATAATATTGACGAATCACATATATTTTGACTTTACTTAATGCAAATACTTTATCGAGATAATTTTTCAAATATTATTTTATAGAATCGTCTTTCATACTAAAAATATATTTTGTATAATTATGATATATATACATGTATTTTAAATTTAATCTAGAATGAATTTAATTTAATTTAATGGAATAAGAATTCGTTTATAAATTTGGTCGGTTTCAATCACTCGATTTCATGAAAATTTATGAGAAAAAGTTAAATAATTGTAATGAGATGAATAAAATTTTGATACATTGGCTTCTAATTTGGTTCGAAATTGATCTTATTTAATAAATGCTTTCATGTATTTCTAAAATACTCTCATAATCTCTCTATATTCATCCCTCTCTCTCACTCTCTAGACACGTGAATAATATAAATTATTTTGGTTTTTTTTCGTAATTAACACATTTTCTTGTATAGACAACTTTCATTTGACAACTATTAGAATTTTTTAATTATTTGATTTAATACCTAGAAAGTACAAAATGTGCTGTCTTGTTTATACAAAGGTAGAGAAAAAAAGAATATCCTGATTTTATTCTCAAAAGAAATTTCAATATAAAGTAAAAATTTAATTTTCTAAAACTACACACAAAAAACTAAATTTAGTGTATCATAAATCTAAACAAATCCTTAACTCCATTCTTAAAAACACATATTATACACACACAAAAGCTTAACCACAGACACCATTGTGACGTACTCTGTTGTAAAGTATCATTATCTTTCGGAGAAAATGTCAGAGTCCTCACATAAAAAAATGAAATTTCCTGAAAATATGCCTGAAGATGTAGTAGAGCACATCCTGTCGACGTGTCTTCCCATCCAAAATGCTTTAAGAAGTCGTGCTGTGTCCAAAAGATTTAGGCACGCACAAATTCGATCCCGGTACCTTGATTTTAGCAAAATATACTCCAAGAGGCGCAATCAATTAGCAGTTGTACGTATCATCGAAGGTATTTTTGAAAAACACAAAGGATCAGAGATCAACCAATTTGTTCTGATTCTTAATCATATCGGCATAGAGGATAAGATCTTCAGGTGGATCAAAACATGCGTGAGTAAAAATATTCAAGAGCTGGAGTTAGATTTTTCCAAATCTAGGAAAGTTATAGAGATTCCAATCGACTTGTCGGCCATCGAGACGCTAACAGTCTTGAAGCTAAAATGGTGTCAGTTTGAGATATCTGAGAACTCTCCCAAGGGTCTTAAGTTACTGAGAACGCTGGCGTTAATGAAGACCAAGGTGACAAAAAAGACGCTAGATGCAATCTTCAACAACTGCATCCACCTCGAGACGCTTGAACTAATCAACTGTCGAATGTACGGGGTATTGAGAATCAACGCTCAAAACAATATGAAGTTCAAGTTGTTGGTCGTGTATTCTATGCTGAATCTCTTGAAGATATTTTTGGATGCACCCACTCTTGAATGCTACAAGTATGATGGGTATGTCAGGATGATTGACTTTTCAAGAGTGAATGTACTTAAGGAGGTAAAACTTCATTATAATCGGAGTTATGATCGGCATAGTTACAATCCACTTGCCATGGTGATTGCTAATATGGGAGCTTTTATGGGAGTTCATGTTCTCGCAACGACAAACATCTTTCTTGAGGTATTTTGATTGTTTTTCGTTTGGTTTGCATATATATAAAACTATATCTTTTTGTGCGTTTATTATAATAGCTGAATACGGAGTTTATGGTGTCATTTTAAGATCATATGCACGAGTTGAAATTTTAGAAAATGTTGATATTAGAGCATGCCACTTTCACATGATTTCTTATTGTTGGTCAGTCTCTCTTTTTCCCCAGAGTTGCTTTATTCGTTTGTCAAGTACTAATTAGCATGTCATCAGAGAATCTTACATATATATATGAAATTCACTTCAAGATAGTCCTAATTCTACACTTCCAACTTAACTTTATATACCTTAAAAAAATTGAGGAACCTAGTACAAGTTTAAAATTACAAAATTATTGCTATAATCAGTTTTCCCAAAAACCTTGTAAAAGTCATGAAACCCTAGCTCTAGGTATTAGTGGAGACGGTGGTCGTTAGGTTATGGTCTCTTTTCTCTTTCTTTCTCAAGTTGATCCTCTGATTTTAAGAACTAAGAAGTGGGGGTTTTTTTTATTGATATACACATCTATAGATATATGTTCTCTTCACTCCTCCTGAGTTAAGATAAAGTAGATCTTGGCTGCTCCTTGTCTACTGTTGGTATTCGGTAATTCCCATCGTTGTCCAGCGTACCTTAATCACTGATGTTGTGTCTTCCCTTCTGGTGTAAAGTGGAAACACAAAAACGTGTTATTATCTCCAAGTGTAAAAAAAGGAAAGTTTTTTCAGTGGCATTTATACTACATGTACACAAACCTACGAGCTACCATTCGGACATATTAGATGAGTATCTAGTATCCAAATATCATTCCAAATGGTGATGTTACAGTTCGAACCTAGTCTCATCTGAAGTCCTTGTCTTAATAACTTTTCTTGTCAAATAAAATACTCTTCAAACCAAAAGATGGAGAATTAGGTTTTCGAGCTTATATAGGATGAATATTCAATAATTATTTACTAGAAAAAAAATTATTTCTACCATCGAATTCGGAAATTGCAATATCTCTAAAAATATTGCTTTATCGAAGCTTTATTGAGTCTTTTTAGAGAGCTAAAATCCAATCCACTTTTGTTTTCATGGTTAAAAGACTTCTCTCAAATTATCTATCTAATGGAGACCGCATTTACCATCATAAACTCTGGTGTAGTATTTCTATAGGTTGCACAAACTCTATAAATATTCATCATATATATGACTATGCAACTTTTACATGTTTTGTTTTCTTTGCTTCATTTTGTTAATATCTTATCACTGTTTGTTTAAACTGAGTTTTTGTGTTTCCTCTCTCATGTATATATAGGCTTTGATGAATAGCAATCCGGATTTCTGCTTTTGGAACTTACAAGAGTTTCAGATTTGTTTTCAATCTCCAACAAATTGTACTCTTTTTGACATTGCTGCATTTCTCAAAAAGTACTGCCCTAACCTTGAGAAATTTTCGATCGATGTAAGTCTCTCTCTCTCTCTCTCTCTCTCTCTCTCTCTCTCTCTCTCTCTCTCTCTCTCTCTCTCTCTCTCTCTCTCTCTCTCTCTCTCTCTCTGCCAAATCCATTAATACTTTGGTTTCTTATGTGCAGATAAATGATTTCACATTTGAACCTCATATCTTATGGGAGCTTTATCAAAAGCCAATGGTTCAGAATGGCAACTACCCGTTGAACACTATCAAGTATGTTGAGATCATGGGCTATAAAAACGGCTGGCATGAGCTTGATATAGTGGAGTTCTTCGTTAGGAATGCAAAATCTCTGGAGAAGTTGAAGCTGATAGAGCCAAGAAACCCAGAGGTCACAATGTTCGAACCAGAGTATGAAAGGATCACCAACATAAAAAGCTTATCTCCAAAGAAAGATCTCATTGAATTTACCAAATCAGGTCGTGCCCAAGCATAAACATGCCAGACTATAATAGGTCTTTTGATCATTTTATGTTTATTCTTTTATATTTTGAACTCTATTTGCTTTCGGTTTTTTTTCCCTCAGATTTGGACTTATGCAAAGTTCTTCTAGACTTTGTAAATGTGAACATGTTATCATGCTCCTAATTTAAGATCAATTGATATTGGGTTATGACCATGGAATGACTATATCATTATTATTACTAGAAATTAACCCGCGCATTGCACAAAATTATTTGTAAATCATTTTTTTACCTTTATATATATTATCATTATATTTGTTTATTTTATTAATTTTGTATGTTTTTTAATTTTATTTTGTTTTTTTTTTGAAATTAAAAATGTTACTTTTATTTTTTTATTATTTTAAAATATATGAGATTATTGTAAAGTTTTTTTGCTAATAAAATTGTGATGTGTTAAATGATAAAAAATATTTTCTTATACTTAAAAAATGTTATAAATATTTATATTTTTTTCATTGAATATCTCTACTTAGTTAGATTTTCTTTTATTTTTTAAATTATTTTTAGTGAGATTTACAAAGTTAATTCACCACCAGTCTCACTTACTCTTTTTCGTATTTGAAATAGTAATCTGAATTTATATTTTGACAGGAACTTACGTAGCTATTTTGTTTATCCAATTTTTTGAATTTATAATTTTATATATTTATATTACTATTATTTTGACCCTTTTAATAATTTTCTGTTCTATTTTTTTTAATTTTAAAATGTTTTTTTTAGTTTTTTATTATCCTAAAATATGTAGATATATTGTGAAGTTGTTTTTAAAAATAGAAATAGAAATATGTTAATTGTTAAAAACTCACTTTCATACTTATACGTTATCGAATATATCTATATTTTCTTACTGAATATTTTTATTCAACTTTTTTAGGTCACTTATTTTGAGCAAGATCAACAGAAGAAATTTACTATCAATCCCATCAAATCTTTTTATTTTTTTATTTGAAATCATATTTTTAAATTACTATTATGTTTATCCATTTAATATTTGTTCTGTTTATTTTAATTTTAAATGCTATTTTAGTTTTTAAATTAACCTAAAAATATTTAGAGCTATTGTTAATTTTTTTTTTTTTAAATATAAATTGTGATGTGTTAGTTGTTTAAAAAACTCGATCTTATACTTATATGTTGCCGTATGTATCTAAATATTTTCTTTCCATAACATTATTTATTTATTTATATGTTGCTTATTTTTGAAGAGATTAACGAAATAGATTAATCATCAATCTCACACATTTTCTTTATTCTTATTCGAAATAACATTCTAATTTTTTTTATTTATAGATACTTTACGTTTTTGTGGCTTGTAGAACAAGTGTTTGTTTTTAACCTTTAAATTATGTCATATGAATATCCAAGAAATATGTATGTAAAAGCCCATTTAAATATATAAATTTAGAGGTTTGTTAAGTATTTATATACAAAATAAAAACTCATAAAAAATTAAAAAATTAAAAGCTCATAAAACATAAAAATAAATTGATGATGTGGATAGCTCTACTGGAGAGAGTTTTCCCTAATTAAATATATGGTTTAATTTATTGTAACTATGTGATCATAGAATTTTCTCCCACTTATTTCCAACAAAAATCTTACATAAATGAATTTGACTAGAAGAAACATCGAAAACAATTTGGTGCTTAGAATTTTAGTTAATTCTTTTGAAAATCTGAAATATGAAAAGGAAAATATTTTACAGAAAATAAGTTAACAAGAAGGAAAAGAAAACGATAAGTAAAAATAAAGCATTACTTCAAATAAAAATAAAAAAAGAGAGAAAATTTTGATTATACTGTATGTTTATATTTATATAGTTAAGCAAAAATAGGCTATACGATTTTTTGGGGATAATTGGCCAAATATCTTAGTTAAGATTTGAAAATTGAAAAAGACATTAATTATTTTTTTTTAAACATTTGCTGATATGTAAAAAGATTTATTTGATTAGATTTTAATTAAAAATTACATTATATTTTGATTTTATTAAAGGTATAGAGATATCTAATGAATTCGTATTTAAAATTTTATAATTAGATATATTGCCCTAATCAAATTAAATGAGATTTTGCCATTTATGAATTTTCTTAAGATTATGATGTATTGGCATAGTTAAAGATTTATTTAGTGTTTTTCAATGTTGTTCTGTAGGCAATATATGAGTGATATTTGTTATCCGAAAACCAAAAAAGAATGTTTTGACCGAAAGAAAATGAACTTTGCTACATTATCAGTGAAAGTAAGAAGATGATAGTGAAGATGAAAGAGAGAGTGAGATGGTTGAAGGAGATGTAGAGAAAAATTCTGTATCATTTATTTATATTGAGAAAAGCTCTGTTCATTTACAAACGAGGCAAAAATGAAAGAATCAGACTAGTTTTACCTTCTACAACGTCAAAGTAAATAGCTCCTGTCAAATTGTCACTTTAAACAACCAACAAAGAAGACCCTATAAACACGCAAGTTACACTTTAAAAGTAACAAAGAGTTTGTGAGTTTAAAAGAATTTCAAATCTAACTCGGAAATAACATGGAAATTATATTATCGGAAAAAGACTAATTTGGGATTTTTAAAATTATAACTGAATCTTGAGAAAGGTTGTCTACATATTCTTGAAAAGGATCAAATCCTTTGTAGTTCATTTTACAAAAAATTAGATTTTTAGACTATAAAGAAAATTAAATCTTCTCCCAAAATGGTGGATTATTGGATCTTCGATGGATCACCTCTTCAGTGATTTGCATTTCTATTTATATAGAAGCTAAATCGGTTGAGTTAGATCTCCTTTTTCTTTATGACTTTATATTTTCCTTTTTTCTCAAAAATTTTCCTTTATCTAAGAAATTGTATTTTCCAATGAAATGTTAGAGTTTTGTTAATTAATCAGACATGCTGATCTTGATTTGGGCAGGACTTTAAGAGAGGATGCTATGCTTATCACTAACAAACCCTCATATTTGTGCGCGAAGGAGCTCAATAAAATTACTCAACTGCAAATAGCCTTATCCACGTGTCTAGAGAGTTGTGAGTGAGGTGTCCAGCTTTTGTGATGCCGACGATTACTGTCGTCTGAATCACCATCTTAAGCAAGATGGAATCAAGAAATGCAGACCTTGCATAGAGTAGATGATTCACAATATCCTCCCAATCTGCTGTTGCATATGAGCTAAGAAGATTACCCGCTACAACCAACCATGCTGTGTACAATGCTCTCATAATCTCTCTATCTTCCTCCCTCTCTCTCTCACTCTCTCTCCTTTTCTCCCTCTCTCTATGTCTCTTTCTTTCTTTCTCTCTCATAAACGTAACATATTAACTAATATGTAGCATTTTGGCCCATTTTAGCTTACTTTTCATAATGTTTTGATTTGATATAAAATATAAAATTTACAAATATAAGACTAAGTAGATAAAATAGATATCCATATTGATCTTTTAATAGATTAGACATCATAATTGTTCAAATTAGTGAGATAATGGATATTGTTATTTTGTTTGGTGTTTTGTTGTTTCCTTAGGATTTCTATAGTTCTTATTTATTTAAGGTTTGTGAGTTCAAATATTTAGTTTTTTGATTAAATGTCTTATTGATGTTATTTACTTATGCATATATAATATATGATTAATGTTTATTCGCATTTACTTTTGTGGGGATGCTGCAATGATCATGTAAAGCTGCTTCTTGCTTCTCCACCAAGTCTTCTACGAATTTTTAACTTATATCTCTATTCAGTTTATCATTAAGATCTGTTTTATTTGCAGTCTATTATTTGATAATTTTGTTTTTAAAACATATAGAATGGTGTGTAGTCTTCATATTTTTTTTATTATCTTTTGTTTGTGTTTATTCATGTTTTGATTTTGATAGTTTATCTAGATATTACAATTTGGATTTGATACATAACTTTGTCATACTTTATTATTTAATTGAAATTTTAGAAGGTGTTATTCATGTTGGCTCAATTATAAATAGTAGCTACTAGGCTTTTAACTCGCACTACACGCGAGTTTGTATTAACAATTTAGTTAAATTCTTTTTTTGGTTAATATCTTTTGAATTATCAAAACTATAATATATTTATAGAAAAATACTTTTATATAATAAATGAAAAATATAATATATAGTTTTCCTATTTTTTTGTTTATAAGATTATAAATTTTATTAAGTAAAATCATAGTAATAACACCTAAATAATTTCCAATTTCGACGTGCATACATTTGATTTAGAGAATGATTCTCTTACTAATTTTTTGGTGTTTTTTTGTGTCCTTAGGATTTCTATAGTTATTTTTTACGATTTATATGCTCAAATATTTAGTTTTTGATTAAATGTCTCACCTATGTTGTGTAACTATGCATATGTAATATATGATTCATGTTGGATCGGATTTTTTTTTGTTAGGATGCCATAATAATTATGTAAAGCTGCTTCTTATTCTCCACCAAATCCTCTATGAAATTTATGTTACATCTCTATTCAGTTTATAAGACTTTTTTTGTTGCATTTAACTATTTGATAATTTTTGTTTTTAAACATGTAAGATGGTGTGGAGTCTTCGCATTGTTTTTCACTGCTTTTATCTTTTGTGTGTTTTATTCATTTTTTTTATTTGAATAGTTTATCTAGATATATAAGTAGAGTTTTATTATTTAAATAATTTTAGAAGGTGTCACTCATGTGCTGCTCATGTTGGCTGAGTTATAAGTAGTAACTTTGTATAAAAACCAGACTTTATTACTTGTTAAATTTCTAATGTAAAGTTACTTATGTAGTATTTTTCTTTGTTGGGTTTTAAACCATACGCAGTCAAAGTATTAGTCTTTATAAATTTAAATAATAGAAACGCGTATAACCTACTGTAACTTTGTATGGTTATTCATAGTCAATACCAATATTTTAGAAATCATAAATTTTCTGAAACTAAATTTTAAACTAATTTTATTTTTAGATTTTATGTTTTTGT